GCCTGACGGCTCATCCCATAATCAAAGAGCTCTTGTCAAAGAACCCAAAGCCAAATCTCCAATTACTGGGAAATGTTTCAGGAAGCATTAAACCTGAATATCCAAAGACTGGGGGACTTGAATCAGAGGCTGACAAATCCAACCAGAAACCTTATTCTAACTAAGGGAGATCAGAGGGACAAGCAAACACAGAAACATCATAGGGCAGGGAGCTACATCTCAGAAAAGAACCCTTTGTTGGAAATTGAGAAGGGAAGTGAGAACGTTCTCTTGGCTTCCATTAAATACGGTGGTGGAAAGCATACACCTTAGGCCAATAGAAAGTCAGCTGAAAGCAATACGCAAATCAGTAACACATACTTCACACAGAAAATGTTCCTATCTTCACAACATTAAATCTGTGCTTGGGGCGCCTGGGTGGCTCAGATGGTTAAGCGTCTGCCTTCGGCTCAGGTCATGATCCCAGGGTCCCGGGACTGAGCCCCACATTAGGCTCACTGCTCAGCAGGGAGTCTGTTTCTCCCTCTTCCTCTCCCCCTCCCTCCTACTAGTGCTCTCTCTCTCAAATAACTAAAATCTTCTTAAAATCGGGCGCCTGGGTGGCTCAGTTGGTTGGGCGACTGCCTTCAGCTCAGGTCATGATCCTGGAGTCCCGGGATCGAGTCCCACATCGGGCTCTCTGCTCAGCGGGGTGTCTCCTTCTCCCTCTGATCCTCTTCCCTCTCGTGCTGTCTCTCATTCTCTCTCTCTCAAATAAATAAATAAAATCTTAAAAAAAAAAATCTTCTTAAAATCAATCAATCAATCTGTGTCAAATAGAAGCCCGTGAGAAGCACGGGATAAAAAAAACAGAGGAAGGGAGCGAAAAAGTTAACGTAAATTGGAGCAGGTACTTAACCTGCAAAGCACCCAGTGTTTGTAGGGATGCGGCTGATGGGACAGAACTTGCCCCAAACTCAGAAATGTGATGCTTCCCATATGATTTGGCTAAGAAAAAACCTGACAGCCCTGTAGAAGAATAGTTCTCTTAAAAGGAAAGGCAGAGGCCCAAAATGTCGGTGACGTCTTATGGGTCCTAAGTACATTTCAGCAACACCTGCGAACAAAGAAGTGGGCTGACGTTGACAGAGCCTGGGGCTTCCCCTGCCCACTGGTAGGTTCTGTTATTTCTCTATTTGCTCACACATGGGGAGCCCAGGAGAACCCTGAGTGCTCAGAAAGCTGGTAGGGAGCCCTCCGCTCTCTCACGGAGTTAGCAGGAGGGAAGGCTACAGTCGTTCCCACGAGTTTTCACATTAAACCAGGCTCAGTGTTTAAGTATGAAAAACAGGAACATCTGCCACCTGACCACAAGCCTGACCAGCAAGGTGAGCAGGTTAAGTTAGAAAGACGTGTCCTCGGGCGCCTGGGTGACTCAGTCAGTTGGGCATCCGACTCTTGATTCTGGCTCAGGATATGATCTCAGGGTCCTGACATCGAGCCCCGCATCGGGCTCCATGCTCAGTCAGCGGGGAGTCTGCTTGAGATTCTCTCTCCCTCTGCCCCTCCCCACTGCTTGCCCTCTAAGAGATAAATAAATCTTAAAAAGAAAAAAAAAGAAAGACCTGTCCTACTGAAGCCTGAGACAGAACCACTGTTCAACCAAACCATGAACAAAGTAGGAAGTAATTACGACACTGGGAGCCTACGGTCCAAGTATTGTACACACATTCACTGGCATCGTACGTAGTATTTGTAACGTAGACTATGACTCACCCTCGAATGTTTCAGTAACTACGTGGCAAAAGCGTGACTGCTGCAAAGTGCTGTTGGTCTTTATCGACCCCTGGCTGTGGGCGTTTGCCAAAGAAATGCAGTTCACCCACCAGGAAGGAAATACTCATCCATAGGGTTAAATCCGCACACTTGAAGCTGACGTGACCATGCACATCTCTTGAACTTTGGCTTTGCTCTGTCTCATGCGTCTGCAGATCCGTGATGAAAGACAGAACTGGGGCGCCTGGGTGGCTCAGTCGTTAAGCGTCTGCCTTCGGCTCAGGTCATGATCCCGGGGTCCTGGGATCGAGCCCCGCATCGGGCTCCCTGCTCAGCGGGAGGCCTGCTTCTCCCTCTCCCACTTCCCCTGCCTGTGTTCCCTCTCTGGCTATCTCTCTCTCTGTCAAACAAATAAATAAAAAATCTTTAAAAAAAAAAAAAAAAAAAGAAAGAACTACGTGGAAAAACCACTAAAGATACAGCCAAGCCTCAAGTATGCGTGTTCTGAGCCCCATGGCAGGTGTGGGGACGCTGGGTACATATGGGGACCACTGCCCTACAGTGGGAAAGACAGAGGGCTAGGATTGCTTTGCCACCAAAGTAACATTTTTTTTTTACATACTTTGAATACACATTGCATTTTCCAGAAATGCAACTAAATTAGGGGAAGGTGATACTTTTGGGGGGAAACTTTACCAAGATTCTTCACCTATTTGGAAAATCACATCACCAACCCAAGCTGCTGTGGGGGTCTGAGTCTACTTCGACCCCCTTCTATCAGTCTGCACTGGGTGCTGCAAGCCCCCCGGGACGCTCATGGCCCCCCACTGCGGACGACCAGAGCATGCACATATCGAGGTCCTGACTCCCTCTCTCCGCCTGACCTCTTCATACTCCCAAGTACCACAGTAGGGCGTCTAGACTTAGGTACGCAGGCAAGCGATGTTACCTTTGCATTTCATTCAGGGCATTACAGAGTACCGGCTATAAGGACGGAGTGCCAGGGCTGATGGTCTGAGAACTGCTAACCTAGAAGCTGGAACCTGGACAAGTATCCTCCTCTCCTGGACCTCCCGTGCTACACGAGTAAAATCAAGGTCAGGACCAACTCGAAGCTCTGCTCCATGACGAAGCAGTCCAGAGTGAGCAGCTTGGGGATGGGCGGCCGTGGGGGGGCAGAGGACGTGGATGTACCACCCATCAGAACGGGGAGGGGCAGAGGGCAGCCCCCCGCCTCCCTGCATACAAACAGAAACAGCCCTGTCCCCACTGCACATGTCCCTGGCCGGGAAGTTCACCCAAAATGTCAATGATGAAACAGTTATCAATACACTGAGTTACACACTAAGCTGCAGGCTCTTCGGAGACCACACCTCTTGTGCCACCAAAAGGGAGACCAAGACGCGCTCCCGGGAGAAGACAGACGGGCACTCCTCCCACACAGGGCAAGCTAGGCTGCCTTGTTAAAGTTGCCTGCAATTTCCAGAAGCTTCCCAGTCGTTCTTTGCCCCTAGCGAGAGTTGGGGTTTGTTCCCCAGAACAGAGACTGTGGGTGAGGCAAGTGAGCAGGGAGTTTAACGGGAGAAAGCAAACCATGTGCCAGCTTATTCGTTTCATCTGTTTGAGTTTCAATTTTAGGGTCACGAACACAGACGTGAAAGTAACACACGCATCTGGAAGACAGGGCTCTGGCCCCACGGGCCCCCCGGGAGCCGAACGCCACCACGAGGCCCTGGCGGCTGTGTCCAGAGCCCACCCCCCGGCTCCCCGAGGCCCAGGCCACGCAGAGACAGCCGTCCGGGCTCCGCTCCGGTCTCGCATCCCCGCCCTGTGACAGAGGCTCGGAGCCCGGTCCCAGGTCTCAGTGCTCTGTGCTCCTTCCTAGGCGAGCCACAGATTCCTCGCACCAGCAACCCTGCTCCCACAGAAGTGGTTTCGATGAACCACACCTTGACCACTACCGAACGTCCAGGAACCAGGCCGCTGCCCAGGGCAGCCTCACGCTCACACCGAATGCCCCTCTCCCTGCGCTAGCCCACCGCCACTGTAGGACTCGGGGCCTCAATGACCAGCAAAGGATGCTGTGCTCTCTGCAATCAGGTGTAACTACACAACGTCCAGCTGACTCGAATTTCCAGAAAGTAAATGTCGTAAGAACGCACCACAGCTGTTAGGAGAATCCTCCGATGGATTCCCCTGGAAGGAACCCATACAGATACAAACACACGTACACAGACGAGTCCACCGGTCACAGAAAAACACACAACCACTCACACACACACACACACATCTACATATACCCAGATGTCTACACACAGAAATATGCACAAGACCGTATTTACACATGCAAATTATCTACACAAATATACACACAACCACAAACACATGCAAATACCTACACACACAAATATTTACACACATATATACAATACACACATACGCACAGATGTCCACACAAACCTATACATACAAATACGCACACAAGGGGCGCCTGGGTGGCTCAGTTGGTTAAGCGACTGCCTTGGGCTCAGGTCATGATCCTGGAGTCCCGGGATCGAGTCCCGCATCGGGCTCCCTGCTCGGCGGGGAGTCTGCTTCTCCCTCTGACCCTCCCCCTTCTCATGCTCTCTCTCTCTTAAATAAATAAAATCATGGGGCACCTGGGTGGCTCAGTTGGTTAAGCGACTGCCTTCGGCTCAGGTCATGATCCTGGAGTCCCAAGATCGAGTCCCGCGTCGGGCTCCCTGCTCGGCGGGGAGTCTGCTTCTCCCTCTGACCCTCCCCCTTCTCATGCTCTCTCTCTCAAATAAATAAAATCATGGGGCACCTGGGTGGCTCAGTTGGTTAAGCGACTGCCTTCGGCTCAGGTCATGATCCTGGAGTCCCTGGATCGAGTCCCATATCGGGCTCCTTGCTCAGCAGGGGGTCTGCTTCTCCCTCTGACCCTCCCCACTCTCATGTGCTCTCTCTCATTCTCTCTCAATAAATAAAAAAAAATCTTTAAAAAAAAGAAAAAATGCGCACACAATCGTCTACACGTCCACACAGATATCTACACACACAGAAGTACACACAACCACACACACATCTATCTACACATACACAAAAGTATACACATACACAGATCCCCCTTCAAAGGACAGACTCCCGGCTCCTCCCGTTCCAGGGTATTCTCAAGCACTGGTATGCTCCCCCGAAACCCCGCCGCACCCGGCCACGCGCCCGGCCACGCGCCCGCCACTCACCTCTCCGCGTCAAAGTACGAGTCTACGTAAGAGTGCGGGGCACCTGCCACGGCGAAGTTGCTGCTTCCAGTGTCAACGAGAATCTGCAGCTTTTATTTGTAAGGGGAAAAAACAGACACTATCAGGTTACTTGAATAAGGCAACACTCCTGAATAATTCTTTCAAAAATGAAGCACCAAGAACAACGTATTGCTCGGAAAAAACTTGTATTGATTAGAAATTTTTTTTAAAAGCTGCTTTGAAACTGAAATCTGAACACAGTCCATTAAGAAGCTTACGGCAGGGACGGGGATCCGTTTTGCTTTGGATACACAAGAGGCCTTACGAGAAGCTATTTCACCGAAATAATTATTTCCTTTTTAAGCCACCGGCGCTTGCCTCTAGGCAGAGCCCCGTCCCACCCCGGGCTGTCTCCCTGCCTTTCCAACCTCACGTGGAAATCCTGACCCGGGGTGGGGGCCCTGCCCAGGATGCCCCCACAGCCTCCCCCTGGAAGCTGGCATTCCCTCATCTGTGCCCCACAGCACCTGGGGACACCTGTCACACGTGTCAGTTCTTGGTTTTAATGACTTCGAATTTACATACAGTAACAACGCAAGATCTTCGCTTTTCCACCGGTGGGCTCTGGCATGGTCTGCATCCAAAGCAAGAGACAGGCATTTCTATTATTCCCAAAAGCTCGCTTCCTGCCCCCTTTCCAGGCAACCCTCCTGTTCCTCAGAGGCAAGCACCTCTGACTTGCTTGCCATGGACTGGACAGTGTATCAACATCTGCGGGTTTGTTCTTTTGCCCGGCAGGGTGGGGGGGCATCTCGCTTCTGATCAACAGGTTTCTGAGCTCCTCTCCTGCAGTGATGTGTGCTGGGACTTGTCCTACAGCTGAGCAGTACTCCTCACACGGACGACGTCTGTCCTCCTCAACGGGCACTGGGGTCGCTTCTGGTTTCAGCCTTTTGGGCACAAGGCTGGTATGGACGTTCTTGTAGAACTCATTCTGTGGATGTCTGTTTCCACTGCTTCTGGGTAGATACCTAGGGCTCTAACATGATGGGTCATAGAGTAAGTGTATCTTTAATGTTGTTTTAATTCCAAACCCGTCTCCAAAGGAGACAATACCAAGTTACACTCCCACGGTCCACTGTTCCTCTGGTTCATCCGCTCCATATCCGCCTCCAATTTGGCATCGCTGGTTGTTTTCCTGGCAGCCATTCTAGTGAGCGTGGACTGGGATCTCCCTGGGGACCAGTGACCCCGAGCCACCACACTGTATGTGAATCGTCTTCCACCCCCACCCCCAACCGCCGGCAAGCAATGATGTCCGCAGGCAGAGTGTGCTCAGCATCATCCCAAGTCCAGACACACAGCCCACTGCACACACAACGAGGAGACCTTTCGGAAGTAAACACAGAACATGCAGATAAAACCCCAGAGGTTGGAAATCAAGTTTAAAAAGCTGTAGATAAGGGAATCCAGGTGGGTAAGTTTCTACCTAGAATTCTCTAAACACTCCCGCCACTGCTCTGGTCAAACCCTCAGTTTTGCCAAAGCCCATGTTTTCTGTCTTTCTCTTACCTGGGCCCCCCCACCCCCGGCAGGATGTCCCTCAGTCAGCCACTCTGTCCTTCTGGAAACTTCTGGAAATTGGTCTTTGCTTTGGATTCCGGGACACGGCACAGCCAGCGTTCCTCCAACGTCTGCACCTGCCCACCTCAGCCTCACTGCTGGGGCTTCTCTTCCCGCCTTGTGGACCAGAGTTTCCCACTGGTCAGCCCTGCAACCATGTCTGGGCACCACGCACACAGGCCTCATGGCGACCTCACCACGTCACCTGGCATTCCGTGCCCTCCACCCACCTGTGACTCCCTGCGTCTCCCACCTGCGTCTCCCTCCCTTGTGCCCCTGAGCTCCAGGCCTTCCTTACTCAACGCCTCCACTTGGGATGTCCAAGAGCCGTCTGTTAGCGGATGAACTGTGTCCCCCAAGAAGACACACTGGAGCCCTGGCCCCCTGGGACCTGTGAATGTGGCCAGACTTGGAAAACAGGGTGTTTGCAGATGTCGTCAAGTTGAGACCGTTAGGGTGGCCCTCGTCCAACAGGGCTGTCCTCCCAAGAGGAGAACACCACGAGAAGACACACACAGGGAGAAGGCCAAGTGACAGAGGCAGACACTGGAGTGACGCGGGCGCAGGCCACGGTGCTCTGAAGACCGGCGGCCACCCCCAGGACCAGGAGATGCAAGGACGGACTCTCCCCGGGGTCCCAGAGGGAGCTCGGCCCTGCGGCCACCTTGACGTCAGACCTCTGGCTCCGGACCGTGAGAGGGGACATTTCTGCGTTAGACCACCCGGTCTACACATCACCAGGGCAGCCCCAGGGAACAAACACCATCTCAAGTCTGCCGTGTCCAAAACTGAATTGCCAGCACCCCCAGACATTCCAATCTCCTTAACAGTGGCTCCATCACGTCGGCTCGGGCCGCCCAGCTTGGCGACACCATCCGTGCTTCTCTGCCTTGTGCCCCATGTCCGGGCCATCAGGAAGGTGCGCCGCCGCCTCCTCCAGGCTGGACTCCGTGCCCGCCCACTTCTCATCACCTCCCGGGATAACCACAGCGACGGTGGACAGCCAACTCCTACTACGTGCCAGTGATTCCTTACAGTGCTTCCAACACACTGAGCTGTTTAGTCCTCATGAGGCCCTTCTGTGGGCAGCGCCACCATCGCCCCCATTTCACGGGCAATCCGGCGCCGAGGGGCGGACCTGCCCAACCACGCTGGGGTGAGTAGTAGCGGGGCTGGGTCTGAACCCACGTTGCCTTCCTCCAAACGCATTCTTGTAACCCACCTACCGCTCCCTAGGCTCTAGGAGCCCTCCGTTTTCCCTCCAAGCCCACCAGCATGTGCGCTCTCGGGCGGGGATTTGGGCCGTTTTGTTCTCTGCTCTGTCCCCAGTGCCCAGAACGGGGCCAGGCACAGAGTAGACACTCAAATATTTGTTGGATGAACAGCTAAGGGATTCTCAAAGGTAAAATCAAAGACACTAACCTTTCCCTTGGTAGAAGGACATTCCAGATTCGGGAAAAAATAAAGGTACAGTCAGTACGCCTGAACCTGCCGTGCGCGGGCTCCCCAGACGCTCAGGTGTGGGCTGCCAAGCATCAGACAGCAAACCCAGCTGCTGCGTCCCTGATCCACGGAGCGCACCGGCCTTCCCTGCAGGAGGCTGTGGAAATGGCGGGGAATCGTCCTGGGAGCACCTGCCCTAGAGCTCTGGGCACAACAAACGCATCACCATGTCTTCTCAAACCAGAGCCTATTCTGTGAGCCCAGAGTGTGCCCTTCCCACCACTGAAGATCCCATCCGTGACACCGGAAGGGATGGTGGGGACACAGATCTGGGGACTAAGGCCTGACGTGAATCTAAAATGCACTACATAGGGGCACCTGGGTGGCTCAGTCAGTTAAGCATCTGCCTTCGGTTCAGCTCACGATCTTGGGGTCCTGGGATGGAGCCCCATCTTGGGCTCCCTGCTCAGCGGGGAGCCTGCTTCTCCCTCTGACCCTCCCTGCTCATGCTCTCTCTCACTCTCACTCTCTCAAATAAAATCTTAAAAAAAAACAAAAACAAAAAGCACTAAATAAAGATGATAAAAGTCACTTTATACGCCTTAGCTTTAGGAGGTGAATTCTGCGCTTCATCTGCATTTATTAACACAGAGTCACTCGCAAAGGTGTAAGATCTCACTCCCCTACAGAGAGGTTTGGGTATTTCAGACAGCATGCAGCTTGAATAAAAATTACCTGGTTCCCTATTCAAATAGTTGATGCCCAACAGCCCTGAGCTCCCAAACCACAACGTGGATCGGACTGCATATGAATTTCTCATGAACGTACAAAGGGGTGCCAAGAAGTCTGTATGTCCTCGGATTTGACGGGAGAGGAAGTGGCGATGCGGAGGGATCCCCCATGCATCCAGCAGTCTGAGCAGGTAACCGGAGCGGAGAAGCTCCGTGCACAGGTCAGTTGGATGGGCCAGATTTTCCTACAGGGGAGAGTTCTCTGCTCCCAGACACGCTCACGTTCAGTGGCTCACCACAATATGATCCTTAAAGTGGGTGTATCAGAATCTCTGTGTGGGTTTTGTGTTTTGTTTTGTTTTTTTAAAGTAGCTTCCCCTGCCCTGTGTGGAACCCCCAAAGCGGGGGCTTGAACTCATGACCCTGAGATCAAGACCTAAACTGAGATCACGAATCAGAAGCTTAACTGACTAAGCCACCCAGGCGCCCTTCTGTGAGGGTTGTTTTTTTTTTTCAATCCCCTCAACTTTAATTCTTTTCAGAGACGAGTTCATCCCCTGTACATCCAATCAGATACATTTTTCTTAATCCTTTGACTTCCCATGCCACATTTCCATGAAACAGTGGCGGTGACTGATAACAACCTCAGGCACCTCTGCCCTCCAGAGAAAGCAGACTCCACCTGTCCTCTCAGGCTGGTTCCCCATCCTGGGGGCTTTCCAAGAGCCAGCTCATTAAGTCACTCAGTTGTGGCCCAAAGATGCTGGCTATGCATCACAAAAGATGCCTTTATCAGTCCTCTCCCTGGGGGAATGCCTGGGGTTTCAGGAGCTCGACCGGAAACTGGAATAAGACCAAATATAGATTTCTTCTTAAAAGTCACAGTATCACAAATAGCCAATGTGAACAGCAAGGATGGGACCTTTACCCATCCTGGGAATGCAGTTCCAAATGCAGCCTGTCATGCACCAAGGCTTTTGTCCCAAGAGCAGACACCGGGTCCAAGTGGACATAAGCTCATCCGTGCAACTCACAGGGCCCTGCATCCAGATTTCAATGGTTCCTGGAGGCAAGATGAGCTTTTCAAGTTGCCTGGATGAAAGCGCAGAGAGGCAAAGGAGAAGAAAAGGCAACAGGACTCCTTCATGAACCAATCAGGCAATTCCACGCCTTTAAAAGCAGTGGGGCTGAATGTATGTGGCAAGACACCTCAATCACCCGAAAAACACAAAACCAAACCAGACACCAATTGTACAACAGTGAGGAATGCTTCATCGGTCATTAAAAGTCACAGACAGGGCGCCTGGGTGGCTCAGTTGGTTAAGCGACTGCCTTCGGCTCAGGTCATGATCCTGGAGTCCCGGGATCGAGTCCCACATCGGGCTCCCTGCTCAGCGGGGGGTCTGCTTCTCCCTCTGACCCTCCTCCCTCTCATGCTCTCTGTCTCTCATTCTCTCTCTCGCAAATAAATAAAATCTTAAAAAAAAAAAAAAGTCACAGACAATCAAAGCTCTAGATGCTAACATGAGCATCCTTCCTACCCACGCTCGTCGTCAGTCAGGAGAGCGCGTCGTCTCTATGAGTGTTTCTGGGTCTCCACGCACCCGGCCACCAGCAGGCCGTGTGCAGAAAGGCCAGCCGCTGGGGCATCCCACGTCCCCACCAAATGCTCCTGCGCAACACGGCGTGGTCAGAGGGACACAAGACTACTGTCCTGGGCATAATGGCCCAAGTGACCAAGGCCTTTCTGGGCAGACGCTCCCCCCATGGCCTCCGCATCATACCAGACCCGAGAGTTTTCATACACCCCCACCCATACCTCTACCACGAGGCACGATGTCCCCTTTTGCAGAGGCAGGGGTCAGGAACGCAGAGGAAAGTTGCACCAGAATACAAACTGCATTAACTTACATGCAGATGACTCCAAACCATCCAGGCTTTTGGTACGACCCTCTTTCCCAGCTAGTTCAGCAGGGGCCAACTTGCAAGAAAATTCAATTTGGAGGCACGGCTCACCAAAGCTGGCCACCCCGGTTGTTCCTAGAGCTTATGATCTGAGGAGAGAAATCGCCCCAAGAGATGAGGCAGCCCAAAGTCAGGCAAGGGATGGATGTCCAGGGTAAACACTGTGGGTTGCATTTCAGGTGCACAGCAAACAAGCCAACACCTTTTTCTGTGAGCCGATGCTGGACGCAGAGGCCATGCATGTTGACTTCTGGCCAGGGCCAAGCCTCCCCTCGGG